GTGTGTGTGGGGGGGGGGGGGGCGGTCCTTTTTATGGGTGGGGAGAGGCTCTTCAAGGACCCGGTGGGGGTGTGCATTCCTCCCGCCTCCCACCCTGTGACCCTCAGCCTCATCTCCCCTCTGCTATCCCCCAACATGGTCAGGTACCTGTATGTGCGCATGCTGTGCAGCCCCGGGGTCTATGGCGTGCCGCTGGACGCGCAGGCCTCTGACCCCAACCTGATGGAGCGGCGGCTGGACCTGGCGCACTCCGCTGCCACGCTGCTGGACCGCCACAACCTGATCAAGTACGATCGGCGCACCGGCAACTTTCAGCCCACCGACCTGGGCAGGTGGGAGGGAAGGGGGGGATTGGGAGGGGGGAAATGGGAGGGAGAGTGATGTTGTGAGTGCATATGGGGAAGGGCTTTGTCACGGGACTGGGTTTGTCATTGCATGAGAGGGTGGTGGGAGGGCAGGTAGGGGAGGTGGTGCGTGGCAACTCCCCTGCCAAGGCCTCAGCCAGAAGCCCTCGATGCATCCCCTTTCACCGTCTCTGACTTCCTTTCCTCTCCCCCCCCCACCTTTATCAGAATCGCGTCGCGGTACTACGTGTCCTACACCACCATTGCCACCTTCAATGAGCACCTGAAGCCCAGCATGACCGAGATCGAGCTGCTGCGCCTCTTTGCGGCGGCCGACGAGTTCAAGTACATGGTGGTGCGGCAGGAGGAGAAGCTGGAGCTGGCCAAGCTTCTGGACCGAGTGCCCATCCCCATCAAGGAGGGCCTGGACGAGCCGGCAGCCAAGATCAACGCCCTGCTCCAGGCCCACGTCAGCCACCTGGCGTTGGAGGGGCTGGCCCTGTCGGCCGACATGGTGCAGGTGGTGGGCAGCGCGGGGCGGCTCATGCGCTGCCTGTACGAGGTGTGCCTGCGCCGCGGCTGGGCGGGGCTGGCGCTGAAGGCGCTGGGCCTGACCAAGGCCGTGGCGGCGCGCATGTGGGGCAGCCAGACCCCGCTGCGCCAGTTCAAGGGGGTGCCCGCCGACATCGTGGCGCGCGTGGAGCGCAAGGAGCTGGCCTGGGAGCGCTGGTACGACCTCTCCTCCCAGGACATTGGCGAGCTGCTGCGCCTGCCCAAGATGGGCAAGTCGGTGCACCGCCTGATCCACCAGTTCCCGCGCTACGAGCTGGCCGCCCAGGTGAACCCCATCAGTCGCTCCCTCCTCCGCGTCGACCTCACCCTCACCGCCGATTTCCAGTGGGACGACGCCCTGCATGGCCCCTCCCAGCAGCTCCTGATCCTGGTGGAGGACTCCGACTCGGGTAACATTGGGAGAGGGGGGGAGGAGGAGGGATGCGCATGCCTTCGAGCTTGTTGGGGCCTCCCCAGTGACGCTGTCCCATCGAGGATCGAGCCAGCATGCACCTCCAATGCCTCTGGCCCACAGTCCCTATACCCTTTGGAAGAAGGGATGTCTGGCCGTACCTGACACCACGTCTCTCGTCCCCCTCCTCCATTGACCGACCCTCACCAAACTCATGACCCCCAAACACGACGACAGAGCACATCCTGCACCACGAGATGTTTGTGCTCAAGAAGGCGGTGGCAGACGAGGACCACCTGATCACCTTCACGCTGCCCATCTCGGAGCCGCTGCCCCCCCAGTACTTCATCCGCGTGGTCTCGGATCGCTGGCTGGGTTGCGAGTCCAGCCTACCCGTCTCCTTCCGCCGCCTCATCCTGCCGGCCAAGTACCCGCCCCCCACCGAGCTGCTGGACCTGGCGCCCCTGCCGGTGACGGCCCTGCGCGACGCCGCCGCCCAGGCTGCGCTCTACCCGCGCCTCACCGCCTTCAACCCAGTGCAGACGCAGTGCTTCGCCGCGCTGCACTCCAGCGACGACAACGTCCTGGTCGCCGCCCCGGCCGGCTCCGGCAAGACGCTGTGCGCGGAGCTGGCCATCCTGCGCATGGCCGCCGTGGCCGCCGGCGGCGGCGACGCCGCGCCGCCGGCACGCTGCGTCTACGTCGCGCCGCGGGAGGACCTGGTGGCCGCGCGCCTGGCCGACTGGGCGCCGCGCTTCGGCGCGCTGGGCCTCAGCGTGGCGCGCCTGGTCGGCGACGGCCCCGCCGACGCCAAGACCCTGGAGCGCAGCAACGTCGTGCTGGCCACGCCCGAGCACTGGGACGCGCTGTCGCGGCGCTGGCGCCAGCGCCGCGCCGTGCAGGCCGTGTCCCTGTACGTATTCGACGAGCTGCACCTGGTGGGCGGCACCGGCGGGCCCGTGCTGGAGGTGGTCGCCTCGCGCGCGCGGTACGTGGGCAGCGTCGCGCCGCGCGCGCCGCGCATCGTGGCGCTGGCCGCCTCGCTGGCCAACGCCGGCGACGTCGGCGACTGGCTGGGCGTGCGCCCCGCCTGCCTCTTCAACTTTCCCCCCTCCGTCAGGCCGGTCCCGCTGGAGGTGCACGTCCAGGGCTTCGAAGTGGCCGACCTGGAGGCGCGCATGGCGGCCATGGCGCGGCCCGCCTACGGCGCGATCGCCGCGCATGCGCCCGGCGCCGCGCCGGCCGTCGTGTTTGTGCCCACGCGGCGCCACGCGCGCCGCGTGGCGCTGGACCTGCTCGCCTTTGCCGCGGCCGACGGCCGGCCCGCCGCCTTCCTGCACGCCGACCGCGCCACGCTGGCGCCGTACCTGGAGCGGGTCAAGGACGCCGCTCTGCGCCACGCGCTGGAGCACGGCGTCGCCTTTGTGCACGAGGCTCAGGCCGAGGACGAACGCGCCGTGGCGCAGACCCTGTTTGACTCCGGCGCCGTGCAGGTGGGTTGGAGTTCGTTGGGGGGGTGGGAAGGAGGGGGTGTTGGAGGGTCGGAAGGGGAGGTTTTAGTGAGCCTGAAAACAGCTTGTCAGGAGTTTTTGGGTTGTTATCTTAACCTTATTCCAGAAAGCAGGGCGGGGAAAAGACTGTCGCAGGTCCATTCACACACATACGCCCGCCCTCCATTCTATTTTACCCCCCTCCCCCCACGCACACACACGCGCGCACATCGATCGATCAAATCAACCTCTGCAGATCCTGGTGGCCACGGCGGCGACGGCCTGGGGCCTGACCTCCGTGGCGCGGCTCGTGGTCATCCAGGGCACGCAGGCGTATGATGCCTCGGGCCAGGGCGCCCGCGACTATGCCGTCACCGACCTGCTTCAGATGCTGGGCAGGGCCAGCCGCCCAGGCATCGATGCCTCCGGCATGTGAGTTGGTCTGTACAAAGGGAGTGGAGGGTAGCGGTGGTGGTTTCGAGGATGATGTGTGTTTGTATGTGTGCGTAGACATGCATGTTGGTTTGGAGCGAAGGGGTGAATTGGGAGAATGTTGAGACGGAGGGCCGCTGGCATGACACCAGGGGCCAGGGACGGTGGTGTGGCGCAGAGCGCACCCACCTGATTGTTTCTCGATTGAGCTCGTCTCCCAAACCTCAAACCCCTCCATGCCCCCCCTTCACACACATCCAGTGCGGTGCTGATGTGCCACGCGCCGCGCAAGGAGTACTACAAGAAGTTCCTGTTCGAGCCGCTGCCCGTGGACTCCCACCTGGACGCCGTCCTGCACGACACCCTGGCGGCGGAGGTGGTGACCCGCACGGTGACCAACAAGCAGGACGCGGTGGACTACCTGACCTGGACGCTATACTACCGGCGCCTGGGCGCCAACCCCAATTACTACGGCATGACCGGGTCCAGCCACCGCCACATCAGCGACCACCTGTCGGACCTGGTGGAGCGCGTGCTGGCCGACCTGGAGGCCTCGCGCGTGATCGCCATCGAGGACGACATGGACCTGGAGCCGCTGAACCTGGGCATGATCGCGGCGCACTACTACGTGGCCTACACCACCATCGAGCTGATGGCGGCCAGCCTGGGGGCCAAGACAAAGCTGGCGGGGCTGGTGGAGGTGCTGGCGGCCGCCTCCGAGTACGACGACGTGCTGGTCCGCCCCGGGGAGGAGCGCGCGATCGAGCGGCTGCTGGCACACGCGCCCCTGGCGCTGGCCGCGCCGCGGTACACCGACCCACACACAAAGGTGGATGCGCTGCTGCAGGCCCACGTCTCGCGTGCGGCGCTGGGCGCCGACCTGGCCGCCGACGCCGCGGCCGCCGAGGCCGCGGCGCCGCGCCTGCTCCAGGCCATGGTGGACGTGCTGTCCTCCTCCGGCTGGCTGGCCCCCGCCCTGGCGGCCATGGAACTGGGCCAGATGCTGACGCAGGCGCGCTGGGCGCGCGACTCGCCCCTGCTCCAGCTCCCGCACTTCACGCCGGAGCTGGTGGAGGCCGCAAAGGCGGCCGGCGTGGAGGGCGTGTTCGACCTCATGGAGATGGAGGACGCAGAGCGCCGCGCGCTGCTCAAGCTGGAGGAGCCGCAGCTGGCGGAGGTGGCGCGCTGGTGCAACCGCTACCCGGACGTCGCCGTGACCTACGAGGTGACTTGTTGATGGTTCTGGCGGGTGGGAGATGATGGTATATCCTGGACAGTGCGTGCAGTCCTCATCTCTGCTTGCCCCACACTCAAGACCATCCCGCAACCCACCCAATGCCACACAGTTGGCGGAGCCTGACGCAATCCGAGCGGGAGAATCCGCGAGTCTGGTGGTGTCCCTGGAGCGAGAGGGCGAGGGCGAAGTGACCCCGGTCATCGCACCACTGTATGTGGATGGGTTGGTGAAGGGAGGGGTGGTATCGAGGGTGGCCTGCTCGCTTCGCGCTGGGGGTGGGCGGGGGCTGCTGCTGTTTTGGTGCGTGGTAATGCTTTTGCTTATGGGATCCAATGCGTGTATCTTGCTCTACAGCCGACCAGCTGTACGAGTAGAAGGGCAGTATTTCAGCTGAAACCTGCCACTCCACCCACCCATTTCCCGCTGTGACTCTGATGATGTCCACTCTGCTGCCCACATTCACAGGTTCCCGGGAAAGAAGGAAGAGGCATGGTGGCTGGTCGTCGGCGACACCTCATCCAACAGCCTGCTGGCCATCAAGCGTGTCGCCCTCCAGGTGCCCAGAGAGAGGGGTTGGTGGAGTTTGGAGTGCCCCGGGCTGGGCCTGAGGCAAACTACGAGACGCCGCATGACCCGCCGCCTCCAAACGTACCTTGTCCAGACCACACCGGCCCTGGTTCTCATCGCTGCCCATCCCTCTCGAGCCACAGAGACAGTCATCCTCCTCCTTCCCCCCCCCTCTTGCAGCGCAAGTCGCGGGTGAAGCTGGAATTCGTCGCGCCGGCCAAGGCGGGCCCGGCCTCGCTCACCCTCTTCTTCATGTGCGACTCGTACCTGGGCTGCGACCAGGAGTTTGGCCTGGACTTTGAGGTGCTGCCTGGCGACGAGGAGGCAGAGGATGCCGGGGAGGAGACCGCCGTCCCCATGGATGACGACAAGTGAAACTGTGATACATAGCACTGCAGTACAGGGCGGTTGATGGGTGAGGATGGAGAATCCCAGCGCGCAAACGAAGCCTGCTCCGTTGCGTCAAGCGCATTGAGGACATGCCGCACCGGACATAGAGACGCAGCGGATACCGTTTTGTTAAATTAAATAACCACTGCAGTGTCTGCATGCGGCTCACTGCATACTTCTGACGCTGCAGCAGGCACAAGGAGCGATCACCTTTGCCGTGAGCCCCCACCCACCCCAGTGTCATGGCGGACTCGCCCACTGGAGATGGAGTTGTGTCCAAAGCGCCAGCCGATTTCTTGAAGAGTATCAGGGGTCAGCGGGTGATCGTCAAGCTGAACTCGGGGGTGGACTATAAAGGTGAGGAAGGTGGTGCACTCCTTTTGGCCTCCCTTCCGAAGCAGCTGGCGAGATGTTCTCAGTCACGGCATCCAACAATATCTGAATCGTATCTTACCTTCCAGGTATCTTGGCTTGCCTGGATGGCTTCATGAACATCGCGATGGAGCAGACAGAGGTCAGCAAGGGCGGTGGACTCGCTGACTTTAGTACGTAATGACTGTCCTTCCAGCCAAGGCTGCAGAAGAGTGCAGCAGGAACATAGCATTGCTCCCAACACCATGCCATGCAGGAGTACGTGAATGGGCAGCTGAAGAACCGATATGGAGACTGCTTCATTCGTGGAAACAATGGTGGGCGGGGGTGGGCAGTGTGGCATCGACTGCCTGAATCGTGCGTCAGCGGCTCTTCCGAACCTTCCCACCACTCCCCGTCATCTGCGCAGTTCTGTACATCAGCCCACTGGCGTAGCCCCGGAGAGGCATGCGTTTGAGCAGCAAACATGACAATGTGTGAATCGCACTGTAAAAGACTGGGAAAACATTGAGGAAGAAGGCTTGTTATGATTCACACCCCCTCCAAGGGTACCAAGGAATGTCAGGCAGGGGGAATGTGTAGGCTCTTCGAGGAGGGGTCCTGCCACGTCAAGTCCAAGGGTGGTGGGTGTGAGTGGGGTTGCACACCGCCCCTTCAAGGAAAGCAAGCCGCTGGATCACCAGTAGTGGTAGAGGGAGTGCGCACGCATCTGGCCCAGCCACTGGAAGCACAGCGCGACAAGCAGGGACAGGAGGACCATCTTCAGCAGCTCCTTGGCCCCGATCCAGCGAGAGTAGTCCAGTGAGGGGCCCAGGGCCGGGACTGCCCCGCCCCACGGCATCGCCGTCGGCTCACTGCTGCTCCCGCCAGGCTGGGAGGTGGGTCGCCACTCTGGCAGCGGCGCGCCGGGGCCGAATCTGCGCAGGAGCAGTGTCGCCATGACGGCGTACGCCTTCCTCATCCCCGCCTCCGACTCCCGCAGGATCTGGCCACGGATGGGACCCCAGACGTTGCCGTGGAATCGGGACTCGGCTGGGACGAGGAAGATCGAAGAGAAGGGGAAGGTCGGGAGTGGGTGCGAGCCTTACCGGTTGCAGGCAGTTGTGCAGGGGGGAAACAGTTGTATGGGACCGCAAACCGAGTCAGCATCTGGACACATGACTCATAAAAAAGAGCCCTCCACCCTCAGCGACCCACCAGTGATTTGCAGACGAGTCTGACCAGAGACCGTCTCGTGCGCCACCCATTGCACGTAGTTGGCAAAGGCGCTGGAAAATGGAACCTGCAGGAGGGGGTAATTGGGTAGGTTGCAAAGAAGACACACGCAATGTAGAAGCTTGCGTGCGACTGGACATTCATCTCGCCACAGCAGCTGTGCACCCCGCGCTCCTCGAATCCTTCTCACCCCTTGACTGATGCAGCGAGTCTGAATGACAAACCCATCCTCCGACCTCGAGACCAGGCACGCCACCTCCGTGTTGATGGACTGCTTTGGGTACGCTCGATTCAGGGGGGTGGTGAAGTCGATCGTGATCTCCGGCCTTCCACCTGTGGGCAGGAGGGGCACGAGCTGAGGCTCTGGCACATCATTGCAACATCCCAGGCAGCTGGGTGACAGCGAATCATGGCATCGCAAGCCCTCCAAAACCTGAGCACTCAACACACACAAAACACACACCTTTCTCCTGCCAGGCAGTGGTGGAGATGCTGTGGTCATTGAGTTCCCTGTGCCAGCGCAAGATGCCGGCTGCATTCCGAGCCCAGAGCTCGTCCCAGACCTGCTCGGGTGTTGCAGCCAGGCTCTGATCCAACAGATCGATGGGCAGTCGCGGGGGTGATGCTTCTGTGCGCACGGACAGGCGCTGCAAGGTTGATTGGAGAGGGGGAAAAGGTTGTTTGGGAATGCTGTGGCCTAACCCGGGAGCCCCAAACAGAACTTGCTTGACCCTCTCCCAACCCGCCCACCTTCAAGGACGTGCGTCTCCGAGATAGCTGTTTCCGACGATGAGCAGACTGCGCGAGGTGCCAGATCAAGGTCAGGCCTCCGATGGCGAGGACGGGGAGCGCCACCTCAGGTCGCAGGAGCCTCGAGGGGCGACGACCACCTCCCACACGAACGGCTGTCGCTCCAGGCATGCTCTGGACAGAAACTTCCGCGTTCAAGGTGACTTTCGCGAGTGGCTACAAATTTGCTCACGATGAGAATGGCTTTGGTCCCATGTTGCCCGCGCTCGGGTCTATCGTCCAACAGCTCTGGCCTACACACGAGCTCACAGCTCGAGCTACTTGGCGTAGAATTCCAGAACCTGTCCAAGCATGCAGTCTTGCTTATACATGCGTTGGATAGGGAACTATTAGTCGATCACCCGCGATGGCGCGCCCTGGGTGAGATCTGTCATATCCCGGCGTGCTAGGTTCACAGCAGCAGTCAAATTCACACAGGACGAGTGCCTTGCTTCAAACACCCCGCCACGCCTGGTGTGCGGCAGTTACGGCGCAATCCCAGTCATTCCCACCATCAACCACTCCCAGCACCATGTCGAAGGCATACTTCTTGGGCGTCACCAGGTACTTGGAGTGGACTGTGTGCGGGGGGCATGGAAGATCCTCTGAAACGGGTTTGGACGCCCTCGTCCGCCCATGCCGTGTCCACGTCCACGACAGTGTCCAGCACAACACCCCGTCCAGCTCTGGCCCTCCCCACACCGCAAACCCACCCGACGGGCTCCAGCTGTCGTCCCCTCCAAGGCCCATGTGCGCGGCATCCAGGTGCACATGCGTGAAGCCAGAGGCCTGTGGGCAGGCGTGGGCGTGGGTCGCAGAGGTTGGCGCTCCAGCACGCTATCAGACCTCTGTCCCTTTTCTTACCAGGCCTAGTGGGCATCACTGCCTTGGCGCCTGTGTCTTCAACCCTGGAGCTTGACCCAGCACCGCCGCCGTGCCCCTTTCTAGCCCCACGCAGAGCATGCCCGGCAGGCGCACCTCCAGCTCATGGTCGTGCCGTGCCTTCTCAAAGCTCTCCAGGCTGTAGGGGCTCACGCTCATCTGCAGGGGCGTCCTCTCCGCAGGGCTGAAGGCCAAGAGGCCGGCCTTGGCATCGTTGACCAGCACCATCCAGCGCACATCCGCGCGGCCCCCACTCTCGCCTGGGCGAGGGCGGAGGGTGCATGCGTCACGAGGAGCGCGAGCCAGTGCGGCCTGCCAGTGCCAGGGTCGGATGGGCCCACACCCGGGACAGCACGCTCAACAGTTCCCCCAAGCGCCTCACTCGGGAAGATGTAGGGCGTGTGCAGTTTCCTGATGTCGTCCTCGCGCCACGCCGCCAGCCTCCCCGAGGCCAGGCGGTCGGGGTAGCACTCGTGGGGACCCAGGCCGTACCACATCGGCGCACGGAACTGCGACGGGACGCCGAAGCGCACGCCCACCCGAGCCAGCGACCTTGCATGGGCGGGTGGAGGGGGCGAATGGTGGCATGAAAAGCCTTGGATGAAGCCCGGGGGCCCAGGTGCGGGGTGGCATGCCGTGGCAAACCATGGTGGATGGCCCCCTCAAATCTCACGCAACACACCCAGCGCCACCCACCCTTTCCCATCGGGCACCCCCGGGAGCGCCGACGTGGCGTCCACCTCCCAGGCCATGCTGAGCTGGCGCCTGGCGGCGTCCAGCCGGTACTCCACCGTCACCGGGATGCGCGCAGCGCCTGGCGGCTGGGTGGGGAGGGGGCCCGCGGCCTCCTTGCTCGCTTCGGAGAGCCAGTGCGTGCCGCCAGTCTGTGCGAGGAGGTGGCGGTCTTGGCTCTGACGCTGCAGGATCGTAGCAGCATGCACAAGAAGATCCCCATATGTCAGCGTAGAAGAGGCTGCCGGCCAGGCGCTGAACCCGCATGTGCCGCCTCAAGCCCCGATCCAACTTGCCACACGTCCCATGCACCTCCCCTGTACCTCCCCCGCAAAAACCCCGCCGCGCACCTCCCCGACGCCGACCCCCTCCACAATCACGCCTTCTTCCTCCTCCCCCGCCTGGGCAGGGCGTGGCACCAGGACGAATGTGACACGCACGTGCGAGGCGTCAGCCTCGTCGGCCGCCACGACCACAGAGCCGGGCTCGGGGCGCAGGCGGTCCAGCCCCGCCAGCCGCCACCGCGCCGCGTGGCTGGTGCCGCCGGACCCGCCGCGGTCGTTGTCCGTGGGCGCGCGGTACAGGCACAGCACGACCGGGGCGGCCAGCAGCTCGCCCAGGACCGGGTCGCAGAACGAGACCAGGGCGCCGGTGTCGGGGCAGACGCGGAAGGTGGGGCCGGCGCGCGCCTCCTCGCCCTCCTCGCCCTCCTCCCCCTCCTCGCTCTTGACTGGAGGGGGCACCTTGGCCTTGGGCGCCGCGGCCTGCGGCGGCTTGGGGGCCTTTGTTGCCAGCCAGGCTGCATAGGGCTTGGCCCAGTCGGAGAGGGGGATCTGGTCGTGCTGCAGCGTGTGGCCCTGCAAGGGAAAGAAACGGCGGCCACATGCGCGTCAGCGAGAAGCCAGGCAGCAGCAGCACCGCTCCGCACAACAGCTTGACCCATGCAGACCAGAGCTGGCGCTGCAAGGAGGACAGCGTGGCCCCCCCTATCCATGCCCCTCAGCATGACTCCCATGCCACATAAGGAGCACCCACCGCTTCGGCCCACAGAGTGGGCTTGGTCAGGTAGGTCTCCACGTTGACGATGTCGTCTGGGCCTGCGCTTCTCGGGTCGATGCCACCCAGGCACCCGAAATCCATGTCTATGTACTCCGCCTCCTCGGAGTCCATGACCCTGGTGGGCCCCAGCTCACCGTCTGTCAGCACCTTGATGCCCTCTGCACACAGATTGAAGAGAGGGTGAGCATGTCACCAGCCTGCGCCCGCTCAGGCAGGGGGCACGCGCCGCCTGCTGCAGCACCCCAGCCCCCAGTCCTCGTCAGCGCAGGCTCACCTGCTCTCTGCAGGGTCACCTTCATGGCTGTCTCGCACGTGTACCCAAAGGGCGTGGTACTCACCACCTCGACCGCCATGTGCTTGGAGGTGGCCGGGCAGGCCGTGATGCGAAGGGGCCGCTGCAGGAACTTGAACTCCCAGGCGCAGGGGTGGGGTTCTCGGTCCGGCCACACGATGCCGTTCAGGCAGAACTGGGGGTGGGGTGGGGGGCAGCGCGGGGGGAGGGGTGAGGTGGGGTAGGCAGCGCCGAGCGGCCCCACCCAGGGGATTGGGCGCCGGGACGTTGGGAGAGTGTCTGCAGGCCACCAGCGGGGGACCAGCCAGCACCAGCTTGCCTGTGCGTCGTGGCGGGTCTCCCCAAAGTCCCCCCCATACGCCCAGTACTGCAGCTCGGCGCCGCCCTCGGTGCCAGCCTTGACCAGGGCCTGGTCGGCCCAATCCCACACGAACCCGCCCTCCACGCCCTCCACGCCGTCAAAGGCGCGCCAGTACTCGGCCACGTTGCCGGAGCTGTTGCCCATGGCGTGGGCGTACTCGCAGAGGATGACGGGGCGGGGGTCGTCGGCATTCCCGGCCAGCTCCTCCGCCTGGTGCACACGGGCATACATGGGGCAGATGATGTCGGTGGCGGGGGTGCGGCTGCCTCCGCCCTCGTAGTGGGTCTGGGTTGGGTGAGGCGGTGGTGGGAGAGAAAGGGTGATTGGGATGTCAGAGGGGGAAGGGACGCAGGTGGCGCAAAGGACCGCTCAGCCTCCTGAGGATGCCCCGCTCGACTCTCGATCGGCTCAGGTACCCAAGCACCTTCCTTGATGCATCATCACGAGGCCATGACTCACTAGGCGCGATGGGTCTCGGGCCCGCAGGTACCCGGCCATGGCGAGGTGGGCCGCGCCGTAGCCAGCCTCGTTCCCCAGACTCCACATGATGATGGCCGGGTGGTTCTTGTCGCGCTCGTACATCCTCACGCCGCGGTCTGCAGGCAATGGGTACGGGGAGGCCTGAGCCTCGAGGTGTGGGGTTCGAGCAGCTTCGTGCGCAGGGGCTGCCCTTGGGCAACTGGACGGGAATGAAGAAGACTGTGCGCATGAACGCCGGTCCTGCAGTCCGCTGCACCTGGACTCTGAGACCCAGGGCCCCACCCCGCATGCGGCAGCAGGTCTGTCCTTGCATCTCGTGACGCGCAGCAGGCAGCTACGCATTCCTCTGGCCTTTCACGGGTCCCAGCCTACCGCTCACCCACGACTGCGGCGAGCCAGGCGGGCGCGGCGGTGGGGTTGAGCTCCGGCTTGGACAGCGTGGCGTCGAAGCCGTGCGTCTCCACGTTGGCCTCGTCCACGACGTAGAGACCAATGAGCGCGCAGACCTCGTACCAGGCGTCCTCGTTGGGGTAGTGGGAGCAGCGCACGGCGTTGAAGTTCAAGCGCTTCATCAGCCGCGCGTCCTCCAGCATGGACGCAAAGCTCACGGTCCGGCCGGTGCGGTCGTTGTGCTCGTGCCGGTTCACGCCTGTGCAGATGGGGTACGGAGGAGGGGCGGAGTTGGGAGGCGTTGCGGGGGTCGTGTGAGGGGTGGCGTGGCCTCTCGACACGAATCCAGCTGCAGCGAGTACGCCCGGTCCTCGCGCGTCAGCCTCTGGGGATTCACACAGGCCTCTGGGCACCCCTTCTCCGGCATGCGCATCGGACCACGGCTCCTACTCTCGGCTCAAAGTGCCCACACCGACCTCGGATCAGGATGGGCCAGCCATTGTGCACCAGCTTCTTGTTCCTCACGGAAGTCGTACGGAAGCCGACCTGGCACGCCTCGTGCTCCAGTGCGCTGCCCCTGGCGTCCACCAGCGACAGGGTCAGGAGGTAGAGGTGCGGGCGGTCGGCGGACCAGAGCTGCGCGGGCCGGCCCGCTCCGTGCAGGATCATGGCGTCCATGGAGAACTGCGAGGATTTGGAATGGAAGGGTGGGAAATGGGTGTCCAGGGCTCGAAGAGCGGGGTCCCGACGAAGCACAGCCCCTCCCACCGCGCTCCTGACTCTGCCTCCCCTTTGAGCATGGGGAAAGTTCTTGCAGTCATCCGCTGGAACACTGCAGCCACACACCACCGCCGACCTTGGCGCGCGCTCCGCGGCCAGTCCGGCCCCTGGCCTCTGCCTGGTTCCGGGCGGTCCACAGGGGTGTCAGGCCTGCCTCCGCCATGTGCACGGGGCTCTGGTCATAGACGGCAGTCAGGGAGGTGTCCCCCCGGACCAGGGCATCCGTGTCCTGCCGGTAGAGGCGCGCGATCATAGACAAGAACTCCAGCGGGCCGGACTGGTCGTCCACTTCCACATCCACCTGAACCTCCAACCTGGTGGCCGGGAGCGAGGCGGGGGAGGGTAGGCGGCGCTGAGGCTGACGAGGCAAGTGCGGTTGGACTCGGGATGCTGAGGCCACTCAATGGGCTCTGGAACCCACAATCCAACGCGCAGCACCTGGCATCGGTCAGCTTGGCCTTGTCGTCAAAGGTGAGAGGGGTCTGGACCGCGAAGTCAGTGATATGGGTAGCGGGCTTGTGCAGGACATACACGCTCCTGGGAGGACAGGGTGGGCGAGGGAGCGTGCGAGGCAGGTCGGACAGCTGGTCGTCTCAGCGATTCCTGACGCCCGACGCTGTTCATCCATGGTGAGGAGACGGTGACCGTCTTTCGGTGCAGGGATGCAGCTGCATGCAGGGCCGACATCACATGGAAACGTCTGGCGCCTCTCGCGTGCCGGTACCTGTGCAGGCCCGGCAGTCTCCACATGTCTTGGTCCTCCAAGTAGCTCCCGTCGCTCCACTTCATCACCTGCGCTAGCGCACCGGGTTCGGGACGGTGGGCGCCAGCCCCCACGAACACACATTTACCACTGCACACCCCCTTTCCTCATACCCATCGGCCATGAGACGCCCTCTGCCAGCTCCAACACCCCCCAGAGTCTCTCAGACCAACGACACAGCCAGCCTGCCTGCAGCACCAGGACGTTGGTGCCGCCCCCGGGCGGCAGCAGGGCGCAAGAGACCTCAAACTCCGCAGGCAGGCGGCTGTCCTGGCTGTAGCCGATGCACCGGCCGTTGAGCCAGACGTACACCGCAGAGTCCGCGCTTTCCACCACCAGGAAGGAGCGCGTGCCGCCCTGGGGCTGGACGCTCGGGAATTCGCGGCGGTACACGCCCGTGGGATTGGTCTCTGGCACGAATGGCGGGTTGATGGGGAAGGGGTAGTCGAAGTTGAGATACTGAGGCGACCCATGGCCCTGCAGCTCCCAACTCCCGGGCACGGCGATCTGTGAGTTGAAGAGGGACAAAGGGATTCTCCCATGAGGCACAGCGCGGCGGTGTGCATGGTGGTCACGCCTGGCTCCTGACCGACGAACTGAGGTCATCTCCGAAATGAGCTCACAGCTATCACAAATGGCATACCCTTTCCCCCTCCTCACACACACACAAGGCCCAACAGGGGGCAGCACAGCTGATTGGCTCCGATCTCACCTGTGCCCATCCCTGGGATGGGGTAGCCATTCCCATGAGCACCTCCCTGGGCACATCCTCGGGCTTTGCATACAGTTGGAAGGCCCAGTCGCTTCCATTCAAAGGCTGAAGCCTGGTGCTGGTCTCCTTGCCGTCCCGAAGAGTGTAAGCTCGCAGAGCCTCAGCTGGGGCGGCGTAGGATCGTAACTTGACATGGGCTTCGCGCTTGTTGATACCGAAGACTCCAGGGGTCTCCCAGTCCCGAGCGACCGGCACCACGCTCGGAGGCGGCATCGAGCCCAACTCAGACCGGACAACAACTAGACTTCGGTATTCAAACTCGAATCAGCGAGACCAGCTGGCGGATTGGTTACCCGAGACAGGAAGAGGGTCAGATCGTGCATGAACATCCCCCACGGGTATCGGAAGGCATGTCCCGAGGGTTTTCCCACCCAACTCTGGAATTCAAATCGCAGCTCGTCTCTCACTTACAGGGGTGTGCTACGTAAAGTGCAGAAGCCTGATGCACAAATGGTGTGTAGGGTTTGTCCAGCAAGATCATACGCAGTGTCAAGAACAAGGTGTGGTAAGGACAAGGGAGCAGGCAGCCTCGCAGCTGTGTGCTAAAACTTTCAGGGAACAGAGCAAATACAAAGCGACCATCGCATAGTACCTATACTCAAGAGTGACACAGAGCAGGGACACAATGGCCCGGCCGCTTGCATCCACTGAAATCCAGACAAAGGGGAGCAATGAAAGCAACATCAACCAAATAAATGTAGGATGCCCATAGTTGGGTGGCGGAGGATGAAGGGTGTTTCACCTTCAGGGAGGAGGAGTGAAGAGGACCTGCGCATGCAAGGTGGTGGGGGTCCCCTTAGGGGGACCAGGCGTCCCGGCGAGTGAGTCTTGGGGTGCTGCAGACAAAGAGGAGGGAGGGCCGTTCCCGATGTGAAGCGCCAGCAGGAAGGTGAGGGGCGCGGGGTGGGGGTGGCGTGAGGAACGGGAGGGCCCCGGGGTTGAGATGCATTGGTGTCTGTTGTGAATAAAATCCGGGGATGTTGTCTGGGGAGGGGTTTGTTCAGAGGAGGAGCGCCTTGCGGGCTTTGGTGGGAGACCTCGGCGGCTGGCTCGAGCTGTAAGTGGAGGTAGTCTCCAGGAGGGTGGCGTCCAGTGCCTGTGGGGAGCATGGAGTGGAAAACATGAGGGAGTCGGGGTGGCTGGCCGGGTTTCATTGTGCTCGCTGTGGCATCCATGGAAGCGCTCGGCACGGATCAGGGGTGTGAATACTAAAGGGCACCTGGAGCCACATGCCCCCCATCCCCACCGGCATGCTGTTCACAAATCACCTTGGCGGATGAAATGACATTCACGGCCTGGCGGTTGTCATTGACAAACGATCCTCCAGCAGATTGAACCAGCGCAGTTGAACCCTCAGCTGTCGCAGTGGTGGCACCGTTGGCAAACTTGTCCTCCACGTTGTTGGACAGGTCGATGGCGGAAGAAACCTGCGGGGGGGATGTCGGGGCGAAGACTCGCGTGAGGGGGTGGTGCACGTCGGCCTCCTCAGGCCTGCTGGGATTTCTCCGGAAACCCTATCCGCCACACATAACACGGCGCACCTTGCTTCCGGGACCGAGAGCGGCCGCGGACCCGGAGGCAGAGACCTGGCTGTTCCCTGCGGTGTGTACGGATTTTCGTGGTTCACGCCGCACGGCACCCTTTCTTATCCGAGTCATGAGGGGAAAATGAACGTCGGCAGGGAGTCACTCCCCCGCACGCCAGCCCGTATCGACGCACCAGTGCTCGGTAACCCAGCCACGGTAGAATTCGAGCCGTCCCCGCTAGCCTGGGCCGAAACAGAAACGGTCCCCTGGAGGGAGCGCCCCGATGCACTGACAGGCCTGTATGGGTGCGACGAAGAGCAGCAAGGTGAGAGGGTGGGGTGGGGAGGGCACAATGATCTCTCAAGCGCAACAAGTCGCACATGGGAGCAGATTCCTCATATCGGCAGAGGTCTGTGCACGCACCTGGCTCGCACATTCTCGTGTAGGGTCGCGAATGCGAGACCCCATACCAAAACCATGAGCGTCATGTTGCTGGAGAACTGCATGGTCTTCACTGGTGAATGGGAACGACGCACCGGACGAAGAAATGGCGGGGGGGGGGGGTTGAGAATGAGTGCCGACAAGGGGGCCGCGTATTCTTGAGTATTTCTTATCAACGTCTCGTCCAAGGCTGTCTGACATGGATGAACCCCCCTCCGCGAGACAGTCTGGACGTACTGGGGCTGCGACCAGTAAGGTGGTGCCGCACGGGTGGGGCCCGCACAGACATTGTCCTTGCGTCTAAAATTGGCTCCATTCCAGTCCCTTCGTGGGAATTAAATACCCAGATTCTCCTCCGTACTCCCATTGTCGTCGGATGGGTCGAGATTGGCAGACCGCAAGAATTCGACACACCCTCTCGGAGTACGTGACCGGATCGTGCCCCCGGAAAGACGGCGCGCGAACGCTCTTCTAAAAAATCTGAGACGAGAGGGCCAGAGTTCAGCCTCAACACCGACCGCGATGATTCCGGCAGCCATGCGGTCTTGGGCTTTGAGGTATTCGCCGAGACTATTTGTGAAAAATTTGCTGACGCCGACAGTCTTCAGCACCGGAGATTCGGTGGTGGGTCCCATTGGGGTCCGCGGTCACTCCGCCTTCCGGCCAAAGATCACACTTCTGTGCATGATCGACATCTCCGGCATGTCGAGCAAAGATCCGAACCGGCGGAGCCAGGGCCGCAAACTCCTCGTGGGGGGCCACGCTCTGGTGTTTCCGGTGGGACGATGTTCAGCCGACATTCAGGGTGCCTTCCGGCCCCGGGGCCGCTCCCCTCCCTTGGACCTCGACTTATCAAATCACATGCTAAAACAAGGGGGCGCAACGTTTGTGGATTTGAAAGTGGAAATGAGGTGGGAGGATGCACCATGTGATTTCGAACAATTGGAGTAGTGATACATTCTAACAAAGAGTGAGGTAGGAGCAGGGCCCCAACAGGTTCATTCACGCCACCCTACCAGTTGGCTCCGGCATCAGCTGCATGTGCCGCCTGAGAGGCCTCCAGCGCAGAGAAGCGACGCATCATTAATTCATACAGGAAATACATGCCCCCTATGGAGGGGGCAGCCTGCAAGTAGGCATGGGACATGATGTGAGGAGGTGGGTTGGTCACAGGCACGGAGGATGACAGGGAGCATCCAAAGCCGGTGTCCCCAGCGGCGCCCGTCCCGTATCTGCAGTGCATGAAGGACCCCGCAGAAGTACAAGCAGTAGATATGCCAGCAAACGTAATATGCCTGCCCATGGGCTGTGTGCTGAGATTCTGACTTCCCAAACAAGAAAGCATGCCTTCGCTGAACTCCTGCACCTGATGCCACTGTCGCCTGCAGGGCAACATCCCCCAGTGTACAAGCTGGGGCCCGGACCCACCTTGAGATACCCCGGCAGAGCGGCCACGTAGAACGCCCCGGTGCCCTCCTTCCTTGCTATGCACCGGGCGCAGTGCAGGGCGCCCCTGTACAGGACCGGCCTGCCTGGTACCCCCTGTGCGTGAGGCAGCGGGCCGAGACGGGTGAGCGATTGCAGGGGGACGTCTGAATCGCACGGCCGCAGCCCTGCCATGCTCTTGGTGGCAATCTGTCCTCCTGAGCCTCCCCTCATTCCACCTCCATGGGGACCGTCCAACTCCAAGCCCACCTGGGCCTGGAGCCTGCGCCTCACCACCTCCATGGGCATGGTCAGCGTCATGACGGTGGCCGCCGACGCCGCGCCCAGAAGGCCCCTGACCTGGGGAGAAGCGTCCGACCCTTGCAACTTGCGCCAGAGCCTGCAGCGCCGGGCGGGAGGTGGGGGGCGGGGGAGGGTGGCAGCGCGCGGTTGACGTGCGTACGCGAGTGTGTGGTGCCCGGACCGGGGCACGACCATCACTCCACCGGATCGGGCGGTGCCCACGCCCCTCCACATAAACCACCTGGTGTACGCCTCGTACAGGGTGAACCCTAGGGCCGAGCCCAGGCTGTCGCTGAAGAGTGTGGCCCCAAACCCGCGGTAGAGGCCCCCCAGGCCCTGGGTGCGGGCGATGCCAACTCCGGCCTGCCAGAGGTTGCCAGGCACGCCCCCCGCCACGCTCATCATCTGCGGGGGAGTGCATGGGGTTGGTGTGTGTGTATCAGTGGCTGACCTGCCTGCAGACGATCCCAGGGTGCCAGGCAGGGCACTCTCGTGCGAGAGTGGGGAGACATGGGGATCATGACCCCCTCACACGACGAGAAGGGTGCCAAGAACGACAGCCACACAGTGTCTCAACATTGGGCCTGAAGGTAAGGTCGCAGGTCCGGCAAGTGGGCCGCCCTGCCCCTGAACCTAGACCAAAAGCTCCACGCACAGTGGCAGGCGCTCTCACCGTGCGCGTGGCTTCCAGCGGGTATGTGACGAGGGTCGCGGCGGCGCCCCCCGCCGCCCCCGCCGCCAGTCGCTCGGGGGTGGTGAGGCCGCCCTCCCGCGCCGCCGCAGGCCCCGGTCCCGCGCCGCGTCGTGCGGCCAGCGTGTCGCGCAGACCGTGGTAGACTGCGAACTGCACGGCGGAGGCGGGCGCGATCTTGGCCAGCGTGGCGGCGTGGCCGCGGTACATGGCGGGCAGGCCGCCCTCAGCCCAGGCGGCGCGCAGCGCGGCCAGCGCGCCGGGCGCGGCACCCGCGGCCGGGGCCATGAGCATGCAGGACACGCGCTCAAGCGGGGCCACCAAGGTCTTGGTGGCCGCACCCGCCAGGCCGCCCGCCAGGAACTGCGCCGCGCCGCGCGCAGCTCGCGGCAGGCCGCGCCGGGGGCGGGTGCGGCGGCGGGGGGCGAGACGGGGGAGGGGAATGTGGGGGAAGGGGTTGCGGGGGAGGGGCGGGGCCATGCCTGGCAGGGCGGCCACGGCCAGGCTGGCAAGGGCAGCCGAGGTGGCCAGGGGACGCAGCTCGAAGTCCCAGACTGTCGCGGTGAGGTGGTTGCGTGGGAGTGGAGCGGAGAAGTGTGTCGGCGGCTCTGTCTCGGACTCTTGTGTGCTCCGTGGAGGGGGTGCCGCACTCAGCCCCCATTTCAAACCGACGCACCTTCTGTGGTAATACATGGTTTGCGGTCTTCCACCGGGCGAAGCGGCCCTGCAGCTAATTTACCAGCCATTACGACTTAAAAGTGTCACAGATTGGTGCTCGTGCTTTTAGGGCTGCTCAATGCCTTAACGGCCGAAAGACCCCGTCGGGCATCCCGACGCGGTGAATGTCGCCCGTGGTCTGCGAGCAGCCGGGGCGCTGGCGGTCCCTATACTGTATGCAATTAGCATAAACATCACAATAGTGTGTCTCAAAAGGTCCGGAAAGGGATGGCATCGGAATCGGAATCATGCTGTGCATCCCCCGCACGAACGAAACGAACCCTAACGTGCTTATTTCCCGCGCAGGACTCCCACCCAAGTATGGGCCCTCGGAATAGTCCAACGGGTGTTACCCACGGCGGACTCAAGAAGGCCTGTGATACGCTGATCCACTCCGAAACATTATTTGAGGCTCGGAAGGTTGCGAACTCTGGTCCACGTCCTTGCTTGGCTATTTCCCTGAAGGTGTCCCTTAGTACGAGGTGTATCCCGGGATCCCTCACCATTTCACACCAATGTCCCGGACGGTCGACACCGCTGCCTCCATAGGCTATGGTACGGAGCTTCACAACACGTTTGGAGGATGTAACGTGTGCTAGCCTTGGTTTTCAGAGGGTCAGCGAGCTCTGTCATGAGGCGTACTCAGGTGGCGCATATCTCCGACCTCCCTGGCGCATTCACCTTGCAGACAAGCTAGGAGACGCAAGCACGCAGACTGCCGATAACGGCAGCCTGAAACACATTACAATGAAGATGGAGAAACCCGAACTCTGCTGCAAAGGGGGCGAGCTGGCTTCGGACATGTCGGAAGCTTGGGAGGATTGCCACTGCCTCTGCACGATATGGCTCGGCGCATCAGTGGGTGAGCTGGACGGCCGCGACGGAGCACACGCATTCCGACTGTGGGGACTTGACTTGATGGTTGAGGCTACAATGTGATGTTGCCGACCCAGTGCACCTTTCCCTCCTGGCTGCCAGTGCCAAGTATACTGAGCACATCCGCTGGACACACTCGTGTCTTCTTCGTTGCGCAATCACCACCATTACCTTTCCCCTGAAATGCAGGCACACTCTTGATATCCATGTATGGCTGCAGCGTGGGGATGGTGTCGGGCTTCCTGGGCGTCCTGGGCTTCAGCATCTTCCAGACCCCCCACCGCCCATACCGGCCCGCCGGGGCCTTGGGCACCACTTCAACGCTCGCTGCATGCACTGCAATTCTGGCCAGCATCATCACAGGGCTCTGCCTAGGCTATCTGGTGGTGTCACGGAAGATGTGCGTGGGGTGCTCGTGGTCGTGCAAGGCGTATGAGGGGATGGGATTCAGTGGTTGGGTTTTGAGCCGCTGGGGCAAATGGTATTGCTTTGGTCTGGGCCTTTGCTCATATCGACAATTGCTTTACCTGAACAACAGGGTAGCTTACTCATTACACTGCATTTGCGCAGGTGCAATCGCTCTATCGACCAGTGTGACATCCTTGAGGAGGCCCTCATGTTCAATACCTTCTGGTTCGGCTTCTTTGCATGCATCTCCATGGCTGTATTCAGGGAGACGCACGCTCTGGCGGATGCCCTTTCGATGGAGGAGACCGAGCTTCCAGAGACCAGCGTCAGACCACGAGCAGAAACAGCCTAAAACAGGCCGCAGCACTGGGAGTTGCCGCCAATCTGCATGGGATTGCAACCGTCGCTTCCTCGCATACTCAGAGTGCCTACTCTTAGCTTTGCCCTTCCGTAACAATGCACAGCCAGAACTGTACATCATACCTGTAAAGCCGGGCGGGGAAGAGTTTGTTTCCTCTCGGAGGTGGGAGGAATGGCCATGATAATCTTGTTGATCAGGGTCGGCCAGAGCCACATGCGGGGGTCCCGGCGGGAAGTGGCGTGTGACGCCATGAGGCTGGGCGCCCGAACACCGCACACAACTGCTCCCGACATAGTGCTGTTGGGCCCGCACTCATTCAAATCAAGAGGGCATGTACAGATTGACTGTGACTAGGAAAGCTGCGCAGTGCTTCCTGGGATCACTGACCCTGGGTACAGGTGAGGGCAGCCCCTTCGGAGACGAGTGCATGGGTGCGATGTGCGCAGAATTGCATATTTATTCTAGCTGCATTGACCAGAGTCGATCTCTGAGAGGCTGCATGTAGGTTTCTTACCGTGTATAGTGCTTACTGCCCGTCCTCAACTTGACCGGGTGGAGCATGTACAATCTGTGAGGGACAGAGCCCTTTTCTCATTATTCCATATGTTGAAATCGAGTTCATCAGATCCCTGTGCTCCATCGCTGCAGTGCCATCGCTTCACCTCAGCGCTCGGAGCGTCTTCAGCCCTGCAGTTATCAGGCCGCACCTCAGACCTCAGAGGTCCCTTGCACCTCCCCTCTGCGCCTTCTCCACAGCCACGGCCACGCCAGTCGCCATGGCAGCCACTGATAAGCCCGTGGAGAAGTTCCGCAAGGTGAGTTGATTGGCAGAATACGAGTTGTGCCAATATGGCCTCCCACATATTGTTCTTGCCAACCCTGTGTGCATTCTTGTCCTTCCACACCCCCCAGGACTACAAGCCGAGCCCCTACCTCATCTCCACTGTCCATCTTGACTTTCAACTGAACGAGGAAAGCACCCTCGTCCAGTCCAAGCTGCGAATTGTGCCAAACCATGCTGAGTCCAGTCCGGTCTCCCTATTCCTGAATGGTCAGTTGGCGTGCAGGTTGGATGTCCTAGTGTCTGGGTCCAGGACCTTGAATGGCAGGATCCTGGCGTATCTTCGAAATGTCTGCAAGGCCGCTGCATGCTCTGACCTCTCTTATCATTCCCATGTCTCCCTGCAGGCCATGCTGATGTTGTGCTCGAGAGCATCAGGGTCAATGGGGCTGATCTGGAGGCTTCGCACTATGCTGCTGATGCACAGGGCCTGACCATCAAGTCCGGACTTCCTTCGGGTAGGGTGTGGGAGTTCGTTGAGATCAGTGCTAGTGTCAGAGTGTGGTCTGGTGATGTCAAACCTGTAGGTGCATGGTTTGGCGACCCTTACGCGCATATCGTGAGAACCAATAATTGCAGGAAGGATTCCACGGCTCGCCCCTCTTCACTGCTTTGCAGGCGAGTGGGACCTGGAGATTGCCACTCGCATCAAGCCTCAGGAGAACACCTCCTTGGAGGGATTGTATCGCAGTGGAGGAATGTTCTGCTCACAGGTGTTGTGGGACTTTGGGGATTCCAAAGCAGGGTGATGGTGGGCATGCAGGCCATGTCTGCTGGGCAGTGTCAGCAGTGCAGCAGTTCCTCTTATAGTTTCCATCCAGCTTGGGTCCCGCGGCTCGCCCCCTTGCAGTGTGAGGCGGAGGGTTTCCGGCACATCACCTACTTTCTGGATCGCCCGGACGTCATGGCCAAGTGCGTTGTGGGGGATGAGTCTGCCTTTGGAGATGGCTGAGGATGGCTGCACAAGTCACCCACATCTGGATGTGGAAAACCTAGTACATGCTGGGCAAGGGTGCATGGTGCATTGGGCATCTGCCACCCATGGACGGCAAGACGCCAGTCAGATGGGGGTGCCGATCATGCAGCACACTCGTTCCCCTGGTCCATCACAAGGTACACGAGCCGCATCGAGGCCGACAAGGCCAAGTATCCCGTTCTGCTGTCAAATGGGAACCTGGTGGACCAGGGGGATCTGGAGGGCGGCAGGTGACCGCTGGGTTTGGGCAGTGTTGGTCCCAGGGGCGTGGGTGCTGAAATGATATGCAGGGTGTGATTCAGGGGCACACCTGCGCTGTTGCCCTGCGCCACTGGCTCCTTCTTGCCCTGCTGGCTCTCGATTGAACGCAATCCAACAATGCCCCCCCCTTTCCCCCTTTCCTCCCCCCCACCCAGGCACTTCACTGTGTGGGAGGATCCGTTTGTGAAGCCCTGCTACCTCTTCGCCCTGGTGGCCGGAGACCTGGCAGTGCAGGAGGACACCTTCCGCACCATGAGTGGGAAGGACGTCGCACTCCGCATCTACACAGACGTGAGTGGAAGGTGCAGGTGCCATGCCCCTGTGCCCCCTGAGGAGCGTGCAGGGGGTCGGTCCTGGGTCGCAACTCCCGAGCCTTGCTCCAGATCGCCTCAGCAAGCCTATCTCTCACCCCCCCCCCTTTTCCACCCTCGGCAGGCACACAACACCAGCAAGGTGGCCTTTGCCATGCAGTCCCTTAAGCGCGCCATGAAGTGGGCGCCTGGGACGCTGAATTGTTCTCGGTTGTGGGGGAGTGTGTGCGG